ATAATAAATCTTAGTGAATTGTGGGAGTCACTAAGATTTGTTATTTTTAATAAATTTCATCTATTACTAGCGTTAGAGAAAAAATATTGGATATTGCTTGAAAATTATTGAAAATAATAAATCTTAGTGAGATGCGGGAGATCACCGAAATTTGTAATTTTTAATGAATTTCAGCAATAAATAACGATAGACAAAATACTTGATATTGTTTGAATTTTATTGAAAAAAGTAAATCTTAGTGAGATGTGGGGGTCTTTGAGATTTGTAATTTTCAATGAATTTCAGTCAGCAATGAATAGTGTCAGATAAATTATTTGATATTGCTTGAATTTTATTGAAAATAATAAATCTTAGTCGGTTGTGGGAGCAACTAAGATTGTAATTTTCATAAAATTTGTCACAATAATAGTGTTAGACAAAAAGTATTAGAGATTATTTGAAATTTATTGAACATAATAAATCTTAGTGAATTGTGGGAGTCACTAAGATTTGTTATTTTTAATAAATTTCATCTATTACTAGCGTTAGAGAAAAAATATTGGATATTGCTTGAAAATTATTGAAAATAATAAATCTTAGTGAGATGCGGGAGATCACCGAAATTTGTAATTTTTAATGAATTTCAGCAATAAATAACGATAGACAAAATACTTGATATTGTTTGAATTTTATTGAAAAAAGTAAATCTTAGTGAGATGTGGGGGTCTTTGAGATTTGTAATTTTCAATGAATTTCAGTCAGCAATGAATAGTGTCAGATAAATTATTTGATATTGCTTGAATTTTATTGAAAATAATAAATCTTAGTCGGTTGTGGGAGCAACTAAGATTGTAATTTTCATAAAATTTGTCACAATAATAGTGTTAGACAAAAAGTATTAGAGATTATTTAAAATTTATTGAAAATAATAAATCTTAGTTAGATGCAGGAGATCAGCGAGATTTGTAATTTTCAATAAATTTCGGATATAAATAGCGATAGATAAAATATTTGATATTGTTTGAATTTTATTGAAAATAATAAATAGCAGTGAGATGTGGGAATTCGTGAGATTAGTAATTTTAATCAAATTTTAGTTAATTAAGAGTGTTATTAGGCACAAAAATTGTTTGAAATTTATTGAACATAGTAAATCTTAAGGAGTTGTGAGAGTCAGCAAGATGTGTAATTTTTAGAAAACTTGAGCCAATAATAGTGTTAGACAAAAAGTATTACAGATTGGTTAAAATTTATGAAAAATTATAAATCTTAGTGAGATGCGTGAGATCACCGAGATTTATAATTTGAAATTTTTTTTAGCTAAAATAATAAATCTTGGTGAGATGCGGGAGATTACCGAGATTTGTAATTTTCAATGAATTTCAGCTTTAAATAGGAATAGGTAATATATTTGTTATTACCTGAATTTTATTGAAAATAATAAGTTTCAGTGAGATGTGAGAGTCACGAGATTCGTAATTTTAAACAAATTTCAGGTAATAAAGAGTGTTAGGGACAAAAATTATTTGAAATTTATTGAAAATTATAAATCTTAGTGAATTGTGGGAGTCACTGAGATTTGTTATTTTCAATAAATTTCATCTATTACTAGTGTTTGACAAAAAAATATTGGATATTGCTTGAAAATTATTGAAAATAATATATCTTAGTGAGATAGGGGAGATCATCGAGATTTATAATTTTCAATGAATTTCAGCTATAAATAGCGATAGACAAAATATGTTCTATTGCTTGAATTTTACTGACAAAAGTAAATCCCAGTGAGATGTTAGAGAAATTATTTGATATTGCTTGAATTTTATTGAAAATAATAAATCTTAGTCGGTTGTGGGAGCAACCAAGAAAATAACCGAGATTTATAATTTTCAATGAATTTCAGCTATAAATAAGAATAGATAAAATATTTATTATTGCTCGAATCTGATTGAAAATAATAAATCTCAGTGAAATGCGGGAGTCACACAGATTTGTAATTTTCAACAAATTTCAGGTAATAAAGAGGGTTAGGGACAAAAATTGTTTGAAATTTATTGATCATAATAAATCTTTGTGAGTTATTAGAGTCACCGAAATTAGTTATTTTCTATAAATTTCATCTATGAATAGTGTTATAGAAAAAACAATATTGGATATTGCTTGAAATTTATTGAAAATAATAAATCTTAGTGAGATGCGTGAGATCAATGAGATTTATAATTTTCAATAAATTTCAACTATAAATACCGATGGACAAAATATTTGATATTACTTGAATTTTATTTAAAATAATACATCTTAGTGAGATGCAGAAGTCACTGAGATTTGTGATCTTCAACAAATTTCAGGTAATAATGTGTGTTAGGGACAAATTGTTTGAAATTTATTCATTATAATAAGTCTTAGTGAGTTGTTGGATTCGTTGAGATTTGTTATTTTCTATAAATTTCATCTATTAATAGTGTTAGAGGAAAAAATATTGGCTATTGCTTGAATTTTATTGAAAATAATTAATCTTAATGAGATGCGGGAGATCACCGAGATTTGTAATTTTCAATGAATTTTAGCTATAAATAGAAATAGATAGAATATTTGTTATTGCTCGAATTTTATTGAAAATAAATAAATCTCAGTAAAATACGGGAGTCACAAAGATTTGTAATTTTCAACAAATTTCAAGTAATAAAGAGTGTTAGAAAAAAAATTGTTTGAAATTTATTGATCGTAATAAATCTTAGGGAGTTATGAGAGTCACAGAGATTTGTTATTTTCTATAAATTTCATCTATTAATAGTGTTAGAGAAAAAAAATATTGGATATTGCTTGGAAAATTGAAAATAATAAATCTGAGTGAGATGCAGGAGATCACCGATATTTGCAATTTTCAATGAATTTCAGCTATAAATACCGATGGACAAAATATTTGATATTACTTGAATCTTATTTAAAATAATAAATCTTAGTGAGATGCAGAAGTCTCTGAGATTTGTAATTTTTAACAAATTTCAGGTAATAAAGTGTGTTAAGGACAAAAATTGTTTGAAATTTATTCATCATAATAAATCTTAGTGAGTTGTTGGAGTCATTGAGATTTGTTATTCTGTATAAATTTCATCTATTAGTTGTGTTAGAGGAAAAAATATTGGCTATTGCCAGAAATTTTCTGAAAATAACAAATCTTAGGGAGAAGCTGGAGATCACCGAGATTTGTAATTTTCAATGAATTTTAGCTGTAAATAAGAATAGATAAAATATTTGATATCGCTCGAATTTGATTGAAAATAACAAATCTCAGTGAAATGAGGTAGTCACCGAGATTTGTAATTTTCAAAAAATTTCAGGTAATTAAGAGGGTTAGGGACAAAAATTGTTTGAAATTTCATTGATCATAATAAATCTTAGTGAGTTATGAGAGTCACCGAGATTTGTTATTTTCTATAAATTTCATCTATTAATAGTGTTATAGAAAAAAACAAATATTGGATATTGCTTGAAATTTATTCAAAATAATAAATCTTAGTGAGATGCGGGAGATCATCGAGAGTTGTAATTTTCAATGAATTTCAACTATAAATACCGATGGACAAAATATTTGATATTACTTAATTTTATTTAAAATAATAAATCTTAGTGAGAAGTCACTGACATTTGTAATTTTCAACAAATTTCAGGTAATAAAGTGTGTTAGGGACAAAAATTTATTGATCATAATAAATTGTTAGAGTCATTGAGAAATTTATTGTTTGAAATTTATTGATCATAATAAATCATTGTAAGTTGTTAGAGTCATTGAGATTTGTTATTCTCTATAAATTTCATCAATTGATTGTGTTAGAGAAAAAAATGTTGGCTATTGTTTGAAATTTATTGAAAATAACAAATCTTAGTGAGATGTAGGAGATCACCTAGATTTGTAATTTTCAATGAATTTCAACTATAAATAGGAATAGATAAAATATTTGTTATTGCTCGAATTTGATTGAAAATATGAAATCTCAGTGAAGAGCGGGAGTCACCGAGATTTGTTATTTTCAACAAATTTCCGGTAATAAAGAGGGTTAGGGACAAATTTTTTTTTGAAATTTCATTGATCATAATAAATCTTAGTGAGTTATGAGAGTCATCGAGATTTGTTATTTTTTGTAAATTTCATCTATTAATAATATTATAAAAAAAAAATTGGATATTGCTTGAAATTTATTGAAAATAATAAATCTTAGTGAGATGCGAGAGATCACCAAGATTTGTAATTTTCAATGAATTTTAGCTATAAATAGGAATCGATAAAATATTTGTTATTGCTCGAATGATTGAAAATAATAAATCTCAGTGAAATGCGGGAGTCACCGACATTTGTAATTTTTAACAAATTTCAGGTAATAAAAAGAGTTAGGGACAAAATTGTTTGAAATTTATTGATCATAATAAATCTTAGTGTTATGAGAGTCACTGAAATTTGTTATTTTCTATAAATTTCATCTATTAATAGTTATAGAAAAAAAATATTGGATATTGCTTGAAATTTATTCAAAATAATAAATCTTAATCAGATGCGGGAGATCACCGAGATTTGGATCTTTCAGTGAATTTCAACTATAAATACAGATAGACAAAATATTTGATATTACTTGAATTTTATTTAAAATAATAAGTCTTAGTGAGAAGTCACTGAGATTTGTAATTTTCAACAAATTTCAGGTAATAACGTGTGTTAGGGACAAAAATTGTTTGAAATTTATTCATTATAATAAATCCTATTGAGTTGTTGGAGTCATTGAGATTTGTTATTCTCTATAAATTTCATCTATTAATTGTGTTAGTGGAAAAAATATTGGCTATTGCTTGAAATTTATTCAAAATAATAAATCTTAGTAAGATGCGGGAGGTCACCGAGATTTGTAATTTTCAATGAATTTCAGCTATAAATAGGAATAGATAAAATACTTGTTATCGCTCGAATTTGATTGAAAATAATAAATCTTTTACAAATGCTGAACGAAGCTTATTTTTACAGAGCAGAATAAAAGCTTAAATAAATAAAAGTATAAAAACTGAGCAGAATGAAATCGAACAGAGAAGCCATAAAATACCTAATAGAAGGAGGTGTGGTGACCGGCGAGGGACTGTTGGAACGATTTAACACAGCTGGAGGTGTGGTGGCCGGCGAGGGACTGTTGGAACGGTTTAACGGAGAAGGAGCTGTGGTGGCCAGCGAGGGAGTGTTGGAACCGTTTAACAGAGAAGAGAAGGACTGCTAGGGCAAGAGGAAGGTTCAAAACAAATTTCGTGTATCACAAAACTGTTATAAAAATAAAAATAAATTAATTCTTTATTTTATTTTCTGCTCAGTTTATTTAAAATAAATAAATAAATATATATTTATTTTGAAATTTAATTTGAATCAAACATGTTATTATTAAATTATAATAAATTTTTTAATATTAAATTTA